CCAGGCTGGCATAAGCTTACCACCTTTGACCTTTCCAACGTTTCCCATTCCCGTAGGGTACACATAATAATCCCACCTAGTAATTAAACTATTTAATTGCACATCTATAGACTAGGAATGGGGATAAATGCATGCATACTCATATAGTCATATAATATAAAATTTAAATTATTCTCTCATCTAAATATCTAGCTATTAGCTAGAGTTTCACTTAAAACATCGAGATATTTTTTACGTCTTTTTAAAGGTTTTTGGTTGAGAGTTGAAAGAAAGAGGAGCGATGAGAGATTTGTAGAAAAGAGAGAAATTGACAATGGTCCGTTTAACTTAATGGTTCAATAGGTGGTATTTGAGATAAGAGACCAATGTTCGAACTTCGATGACGGTAGTGTGAGGATTATGTTCAAAGTGGACAGATCCCTTGTGCGCATCGACATTTAACTAACAGGGTCATTCGGTCACCGTGATTTACACATTATATTCTCAAATGTTCTGTTAGGTCGGAGTGTGTGGGCCCCTGGGGTTGAGGATTCAGCCTTTTGGGAGAAGAGGAGAAATTGACAATAATTTTGACATTATTATTAGTGTAATTTAATTTAGGTTGAGTTGCATTAAATATTTAAATGGCGCATGGCATGGATCTCAATTCTGATCACCCAAAAATATGTAAATGGTGTATGTGAAGTTATTTTCATCCTTTGATACAAACAACGTACGAAATGCATACATATATGGATGCACACGGGGGTAGCGACAGCGGCGTATAGTAGGTGAGACTTTGTATACAATAATCCCATGAATAATACAGCGGCTGTCAATACTGGACAATATGTATACATCGGCAATTAAACTTTGGGGACTCCGACGGAAACAACATGCATGCATGCATGAACGCATTATTGTTCATCCGACAACAACCGCTGATTCAATCACTTCACTGCCAATTTTCTCTTTTCTTTTAAGTTTTCGAGTAATGAGAAAAATTCGCAAATCATTAGCTAAAAGTAAATCTAATTTTTGTGTAATGGTTTGTAAATCACGTAAGAGAGCTTAGCTCAATGGTTCATGGATTATTCTAGAAGTCTTACTCTAGTGGCAAGAGGCGATATGATGAAGACTCATTCTGGACAGAGTGCAGTGTATATATAAATAAGGCTGGAAATTGAGAATTGACTAGGCGACTCATGATTTACATCCCTCAAGCTCTTGGATAAGGGTTCTGGGGGTTAGAATTAGTCTACCTTAAGTTGCAAAAACCTAATATATATTCCAAAAAAAAAAAAAAAAAAAAAAAACTAATTAGGCCCTATTTGGTAAAATAGTTAGTCTATAGGCTAATTTTGACCTTTTTTTTTTTTTGAAAACCAAAAAACATTTATTAACATAAATGTTTAATACAAGAAGGGAAAGAAAACATCCAACTAGAAGGGTCAGTTTGAGAACGAGTAGCTCTTGCCAAAGCATGAGCAAATCTATTCACTGATCTAGAAACATAATGAAAGGACACTATTTCAAAGTGTCGTTGAAAGGCCCAACACTCATAGGCTAATTTTGACTTATTTGACTACTATTAACTTTTTAATTTGGTTTTTAAAAAAACTAATATAAGTGTTTGGTTAATTAGCTTTTTGTAACTCTAAAATTCAAAAAGTTGCTCAAAGCAGCTTTTTCAGTTAGCTTTTTGAGAAAGGAAATTATACCAAACAACTATCAGCTAATAACTAATATACCAATCAGTTAATCTTATCAACTAATTATACTCTCTAACTAACTCAATCAGCTATTTACCAAAAATTATACTCCGATGGACTCATTCAGCCACCCTCTCGGAGCCAATAATGTTGTGTTTTGTTGTCCAATGAAACAAACGCCGTAGTGATTAGCGTACATTAATGATGAGTGAAGATGAATCCGCCTAGTCCCTACTAGGATCTGTTGTTACGAGTTTGGTTCATTGTACGTGTACCAACTCCAGCAGAGACAAGCAAGGGGTTAAGGCGGTGTTTGGCGTGCTTGCATGCTTTCAATTTCAAACATTTATCTACATTCTACAAGCTGTCGGCTGTTGAAACTGGCCCACGTCGTCTCTGCCTTTCGCCTTTAATTTGGACATTACTTTACCTCAATTCAATTCTCACAATCTCCTAGCTAGGAATTTTTCTTTTGGTTTTGGATAAGCCTAGCTACACTAGCCTTCAATTTTTTAGGATAATATATAATTTTATTTTTTAATTTTAAATAAATATTTCAACTTATAAAAACTACAATTAACACTTTTTTAATTACAAATTTTCTCAACTAGGAGGTGTTTGATTTGATGTAGTTGTAATTCTTTTCCTTCCTTATTCCATTGCAAGACAAAAACTAATCATATTTATACTTGGTAATTGGTAGAACTTTCAGTGTGATAAAATATTTTCTTAATGTTTTACAGAAGCCTATGGTTAAGTTAGATTTTTTTTTTTTTTTATTATTATCTCAAATTACCCTTAACACCAAGAATAATAAATGTCATATAACATTTCAATATATTACAGGGTATATGAGTATAAAGTGCATGAGGTAGTGTCCGCATTAGCACCAAATTGACTTTAATTTTACAAGTAAAAAACAAGGTCAAATTGGACCTTTTTTTTTTTTTTTTTTTCGCAAGTTCAAATGTATATTTAGAGTTTTTTTAGTTTAAAGTCTAATTGTATTTTCTTAAAAAGTTTGAGAGATTTTTATTTTTTACCTAATTTTCGTGATGTTTTATAGTTTTTTTTTTTTTTTTTTGGGTTGAGATGAGGGTGTGTTGTGCAATTGAGCTTAATTAAAAAGAAGTATATTGTTTTCAAAAAAAAAAAAAAAGTGTATTATTTTTGAACAGGAATCTTTTTTTTTCAGTTTAACAATAATGGCCGAATCAAACACTACAACTGGCAAATTCTTTTCCTTTTATCTTTTTCCTTTTAATTTTTCTTTTTGGTTAAGTTCATTAATTTTTCTGCTTGTTTCCCATACTGTCGTGGGGATAAACATTCGATATTAAAAAACAAAAAAGGAAAAGAAGAAGATTATAGAAGTCTGAAAAAGGTAGATGGGCAAAGAATGACAAAAGAATACGTGGAAATGAGCCAACTTATTTGTTATGAGGATGAGAACTGTAATTCTTGATTAATTAGAAGTCACACACTAATTAGAAGAGTCACATACTACAGTAAATAAATACCCCGTATAAGATAAGAGTTACAATATAACTATGATACATAGTCTTAATATACTCTCCCCCAAGTATATGGGTATCTAATAGAGTCTTAATATACTCTCCCCCAAGTATATGGATATCTAATAATTTGTAGCTTGTCTCTAGAAACGAAAAACGATGTCATGGAAGAGCTTTAGTAAAAATATCTGAAGCTAATCTTTGGTATAAATAAAATTAACTTGAATATTACCAACAGTCAATTTTCACATGTTTGGTACAAACATGAAATATAGAATTTGCACATGTATATGTAGCACCAAAATTTCCACACCGCAACTTAATTGGGAACATGAATATTAGCAACACCAATCTCACGCAGTAAAGATATAATCCAAATCACACACATCAGCTAGAGCCTTATATTCAGCTTCAGTTGAAGACCGAGCCACAATTCTTTGTTTCTTACAAACCCAAGACACAAGATTTGTACCAAGAAACACAACAAAACCACTCGTGGACTTACGATCTTCAGGACACCCAACCCAGTCAGAATCATAGAAGGCATGAAGATCATTTGTCACAGATGTACGTATACGCAAACCAAAATCAATAGTGCGTTTAACATACCTCCACACACGTTTAAGTTGAGCCCAATGCATGACCATGAGAGCATGCATATGCTGACAGAGCTAGTTTAGGGGCGTTTGGTTCACGGGATCTTGGGTTACCCCATGTAATAAGATTACTTCCAAGAAGGTAATGTGAGATTTTGGGAATGTAAAATTACCTTATGTGTTTGGTTTGGATTGTGGAATATAATATTACCTTGTTTGGTTAAGTGTTATATTTTAGGTTATATGAATCAATTTACAATAATGTCTTCAATAATATATATATATATATATATATATATATATATATATATATATATATATATATATATATATATTATTTATGTGTGTTTATTTATTTATATGTATGAATGTATATCAATACTTCAATACTTAAATATTAAAAAAAAAAAACAAAATATATAAATATGCACACATGTATATTTGATTGTATTAAACATATATTTATTATTATTATTATTATTATTATTATTATTATTATTATTATTATTATTATTATTATTATTATTATTAGTTAACAAGGGCAATGTCGGAATAACTCAAGGTAATCTAAGATTACCTAAAAAAAATGGAGGTAATCACATTACCTTGAAACATTACCACCACATCAGCTTTCAGGTAATAACATTACCTGGTAATCTCATAACTTGAACCAAATAAGGTAATATAACATTACCAGACTCAGATTACCTAGATAATCTCAGATGACCCGAACCAAACGCCCCCCAAAGGACAAGTTAGGGCGAGTGACAATCAAATACTGCAAACCATTAAATACATATTCATTTTAATATAGTGTATATGTTCATTTTAATATACTAAAGATTTTTTAGTGTACTTAAAATAAATATCTATCAAAAGACATGCACAACAATATCTCCAAGAGGGCAAGACGACAACAAAGAGAGACCCACCTCGTTACCCAACAAGACTACAGTAGTTGCATTTGGGCCTGAGAAAAGTGCACCACTGCATCTGTATGCACTATGCTCCTTTTTCTTCTTTCCCCATATAATACTGTAACATGGAGGAATCCCTTATTTTAGGCAAAATAAATAAATAAAGCTATCTTTTGGGATTGAAGGAGCAGAAAGAAACCCCATTCTCTAAAAGGAACAGGAGAAACTTAAACATGAAGTCACCCATCAAGCTTCAATTTTACATAGATCAGAAATATATGGAAAACTGAAAAAGCCTTGGAAGTGAGACATGGACAAGAGAGCATACATCTAAGCAGATAAATATTATATAAGGCATGAATTTGTGTTATGCCTGGCGCAAATACCTTGTAACCAGAATGAGACCTTAACCTTAAACTCAAAAGTATGCCAGAGCATTACACAGACTAAAACGACAGATTAAGAAATCCAAACCCAATCCCCCAACCCCTTCCCCTCCCCTGAGTTTGCCAGAACATTAGACTGACTAAAATGACAGACCAAGAAACCCAAACACTCCCCGCGAAAAAATCATCATCCCTTATATTTTGACCAAGGGCAACGAACATTGCATGTGCATACTTTAAGTTGAAGAGGACTCATCCTTCTTCTCTGCAACTTCTGATGCCTTCCCCTCACTTTCAACAGAAGTCTCTTTCTCGCTTTTCTCTTCCACCTTCTCCTCAGTTTTCTCTTCAGCCTTCTTCTCTTCAACACTCAACTTCTCAAGCAGTCCAGCAGTATCAGATGCATCTTTGTTTTCTTCTTTCTTCTGTGATTCAGCAACCTCTTGAAACATCTCCATGAAAGTCTTGCAATCTAGTAGAAAGAACAATATGTAAGATTAAGGCCCTAATGCTTACAAACATAAAAATGAAAAATGGCAATTGGTGATTCTGATAAGAGAACAGAGTTCCAAAGGTGCCGGCATTAGCCAAACAAATAAATTATACCCAAAATTAAGGGACTCAGTTCTAGCAATGTATGGCTTTATAGGAAAAAAAGTATGCTAATTAAACCAAAAATTTATATGAATACATCAAATTCATCAACAAAGTTATCTACAATTATAGGTAACTTTTTGAATAACTGCATTCATCTTTGGATGCTTTCAGAGATAATTGGGGTACTCCAAAGATAAACCATAAATGCCAACAGAAAACAGATCAAGACTGAATTAACAATAGGCAGAAATGGTTAAGAATCTAATGAAACATTGTATATGACATCTGCTTATAACATACAAGAGGTCCCATGAAATTTGTTGAATTTTTCAATTCTGATCATAACAGAATTACATGACACAATACCCTGATCTTACAATTGAATTCAATTTTTACCATCCCAGCCATCCATATTTTCGGGAATCACTGAACCAGATATCTACTGAAAAAATTTAATTTTATTCAACCCCAGCATGTCACTTCATAATCCCCTTCCAGAGGTTTTTCTAGATACTTACAACTTAAAGGCAGATAAAATTAGATGGCTTACAAATGATCAAACATTTTATTAGAACTTTAATAAAAATACTAACTGCTTGGAATTTTGATGTTCTTTTCTGAAATACAATTGAAATATAGAACACAGTCTCCTGTGCAATTTATCTTGAGAAAGGAACCATCCATTATCTTTTAGGATAACTTTGTGCAAGGCTTTCCACCGATGACCTCTGAGAGTTCATTTAATTTAAGCATTCTGACACTTCAACAACAGATTAACTTGATTTTCATTGGATCCTAACAAAATAGAAACTCAATCACAAACTAAGAATCCTCCTTGCACCTGCTACCTAGTTACCTAGTTCATTGATACTAACATAAGATAAGCTCATTTAAATCAAGAGACTAGTAAATCTGAATAACTTGATATGACCAAGTTCAAGTTGCAGATATCGGCATTGCAAAGTAAACAAATTTAAAAATCACTTTAAAGCACAATGGATTGAACCATTGACCAGAAAAGAACTGAACTTTAAGTTGTGACATTCTATCAAGAAAGCACCCTTGAAAAGGGGCAAACACAAAGAATTGAACTTCAAAAACTACACACTATCAAGGAAATAGTATAAGAGTACTTACTCTCCACAGATGAAAAGCGGATGCAGAAAAGCTCATCCTTTAGTTCACCATCTGCAAAATCCGCTGCATGCCACAAGCAAGACTTTTCGTTTCCAGCATGTTCCTGAATTGTCATTGACGGTAGCACTGCAAACAACATGCAAAACAACACAATTTTCACAGATTATCAATCGGATCGAAGTTCAATCGATCTACAAATAGTTCATACAAAAATACACGAAAACAGACCGAGATGATTAGCGCAGATCTTAAGAGTCTTGGCCTGGCGCATAACAAGGCGAACTTTTCCAGTTTCCTTGTGCTTCAAGAGTTTGACACTCCCGACGCCTCTCTCCTTCCACTGATTCCCTTCCTTATCGAACCGATAAAGCTTCGATTTCCTGATAAAAGTAGAGCAACAATAATCAAAATCCACGAATTAAGCAGATCGAGAGAGAGAATTAGCATAAGATCAGAGAATCGGGGAGGAGAGGATTACAAATCGAGGATGGAATCTTCGTTTTCCTCGCCGGTGGTGACGGCAACTTCTTCGAGTTTGATGATAGGCGCAACCTGAGCTCCGGTATCTTCATCCTCCGCGGCGGCGGCGGCTTCTTCCTCGTCTCTGTGCTCACGCTCGGGATCAGTGCTTGCCATAGTAGTGTGTATCTAGGAATCTGAGTGCGAGATTAGAGGATTGAAGTCAAGAGAGAAGGGTTTGATAGGGAAGAAGGAGGTTATATGGTAGTGGGGCGGTTTGAAATCCGAAAGAAAAGACTGCGACAGCGATGAAAGCGTGAGCTTTATGCACCGAAAACAGGGATGAGCAAAAGTGCTACCCGTCTAACTTCAATTATTATTATTATTTTTTACAATATTTGTGTATAAAAAAGCAAAAATGGCCATTTATTCAAAATAAAAATAATTTGGTAAACAATAAAATGTGTATATCTACTATCTAAATCCTTATAGAATTCTAATATTAAAGTCTTAATAGAACTCTGATCTAACCTACAACTTTTTTAATGATATATTTTTTTAAAAAAAGAATTTAACTTTATTTAACTTTAAACGTGACATGGTACATGATATAACAAAATACTAAAATATTGTAAAATTTCACTAATATCAACGTATTTGTCAGTGTTAAATTAGGATCATGCAAGTGTTATTATAATTAAATAAAAGTTATTATTATTATTATTATTATTATTATTATTATTATACAATGTGAATATGAATACTATTAAAACATTGCATCAAATGTTGTTCGTTGATAATGAAATTTAACTGTTGTGTTTGGTTGCAAAACAACATTGCATCAAATAACTATTATTCTTGTTTACAAAGCAAAGTCATTGAAATTGTCAATGTATTTTAAGTCGACTTTTATTACTGTAATTAATAATCACAAGTAAGAACATAATTAATAAAAGATGCAATTTAATGTGTTATGTAGAGCAAATAAGCTTAAGGTACATCTCCTATCAATGTTTCTATAATATGGTCGCGGTAAAATGCCAGATTGCTGGCACCCCCTTCAAATTCAATTTTTAGCCAGAATTCCCTCAAACTATATTAGTATATATTTAATATCTTATGTCATAATCTTTATTTACTCTCCCTTATGTCCCGTATATGGTTTCAACCATACCCATATAATTATTTCATTGATAATTATAATCAATCTTGACTATCTTTTTCTAGCATTTGTAAACTTAGAATTACCTATTTAAATACGCAAATTCAACATTTAATTATCTATACATGAATAACTCCAATGTAATCTTACTATGATATATTTTAAAGTACTTATTTGAATAAACATTAGGCATTATCCTAATCGCGCATGTGAATTAAAAAAAGAAAAAAAAAAACTTGTCATTGTAGAAGTATTGAATTGGTTGTTCTTTATGTATTTACAAGTCATATATGTACAAAGAAAATTAATTTTTAAATTATTTTATGTACAAAATTAAGTAATTTAGTCATGAAGGTGTACGGTTTGTATGAAACTCACATTATGACCTTAGCTAAGGTGACTTTTAATTAAAGGATCACGATGAGATAAAAACTTAAATTGTATGCTTTTGTAAAAAGTCATGTTATAAATCAAATCTTAATGGACATTATTATGATTATTTGTAACAGCTGAAACAGTTTTTGTACTTAATGAGAAGGTTACATTTGTACTCTATATATTATTGTATTCATGTACAGAAGTTAGAGATTACAAGGCAATAAAATTGTTCTTCTCACTGTTCTTTATCTTCTCCATACTGCTCTTTCTTTTACTGTTCCCCGCGAGCTAAGGTCTGCAAAAGTTACCAACAAACTTGCATTACAACACGTTATCAGCACGCTCAATACACTCCGGTGAACGGTAATATTATATTTTTTTATGCTTTATGCTTTCAGGATGCCTAAAATCACATGTCCATGTTTATATTTTATTATGCTTTACTGGGTATGTGAAATTTGATAATATGAACATCTATTTCCTGACAGCATATATCTGCATCAAATGAATATATTTAGTAAACTTGATATATGCAATTTGTCTTTCTATCTTATGAATGTTTGTGTATATACATTGATATAAAAATATGAATGTGTGCAGTTCACTGTATGTATGTGTATACATATTTGCAAGCCATGAAAATTTTATACATCCTAAAAATAAATATGCTTCGTACAATATACACACATATACATATGTGAATCTTTTTTGGGAAAAGAAATGGAATCCATGTTGTCTATTAAGATCTGTACAAGAAAATAGTTTTTTTTTTTTTACATAAAAAGATCTGTGAGCTTTTGGTCTTAAAAAAAAAAAAAAAAAACTAATGTTCACACAACATAATTCCTGTTTAGAACTTAGGATGAAAAATTAGCAGTATATATGTTGGTTTTTTGGACGAACATTGTGTGCTTTCAAAAACAAACAAAATTTCCAATTAATAGATGTACTGGATCTAGAAATTTGCATATGACTTTTTTTTTTTTGTGAAAAATTGCATTACTTTCAATATATTTGACATACCGGCATGAAAACTTTTACTGTTTTTTTTTGCCTTTCGGAATACCTCAAACAAAATATATATATTTATTTTTTCTCTCGTTTTCCATGAATATGTGTTTTGCACTTGCTTTGCTTGTTTTCGATTCTGTTTATACTATGTATAATTTTTCATGAATCCAAACAAAATCAAGCGAACAAAAACGAAAATCGAAACATATATGTCTTTACCAATCTGCGTACGGCAACGATCTTGAGACGATCGGTGATGATGACGAGAGGCGATGGAAGATGGCGGCAATCGATCGATCTTGGCTTCCGCTCTCTGCTGTCTTTCCTCGAAATCGATCGCCGGTGGAGAGACGCCGGCGACCAGCGAGCGGCGTTGGCTTGAGGCGATGGTGGCCATCCGCGAACTCTGCGGGTAGTGGCGGAAATCTCTCCGCTTTCTCATCGGTTTCATCGGAACCGTTTTTCTATCTAAATTAAATGGCCAGGGGAGTGGCTTCAAATTTTAATAACGCCAGAAGCGTTATTTCCCTTGCACTAGGGTTCTTTTTTTTATTTCATAAAACAAAAAAATCCATCCATCTTTATTTGATTGGACCATTTTTTTAAATGGATCATCTTCATTCTAATGGGCCATTTTTATACTTATTCAAGCCCTCATTTATTTGGACCATTTTTTTTTGTATGCAATATTATATGTTCCTTGGGCCTTTTTTGTTTATTGAAATAAACTAGGCCACACATTCTGTTTCTTTTGTCCTCATTTAAATATTTTCTGTAGAAATGGCTGCTCTCGCAAAAAGAGAATTTGCTGAACTCGCCCTCGATGGAAGCAATTTCCTCACTTGGGCGCTTGATGTTGAGATATATCTTCAATCTACAGAACTGCTGGACACCATTGAAGAGACATCTACGAGCACTGCAGCCCAGAAGGCAAAAGCGCTCATTTTCCTCCGCCACCATCTTAACCACGACCTCAAGAATGAATACTTAACAGAAAAAGACTCCTATGTCCTCTGGAAATCTCTTAAGGCACGCTTTGACCAACAGACGTCATTGGTCCACCCCCAGGCCCAACATGATTGGCTTAACCTCCGATTTCAAGACTTTAAGTCTGTGACTGAATACAACTCCGCCCTACACAAAATTGTGTCACAATTGAAGCTCTGTAAGCAAACAATTACGGACGAGGATCTGATTGAAAAAACTCTATCCACGTTCCATCCAAATGACCATGTGCTCCAGAAGCAGTACAGGAATACAAAATATGATACGCATCCAGAGCTCATTACGGATTTACTAGTGGCTGAAAAGCATAGCCAGTTATTGATGCAAAATCACAATGCGCGTCCAACTGGCGCTGCACCTGTGCCTGAAGCACACACTGTTGCCCAGGAGAGCAACAATCGGCGGGGTCGGGGCCGGGGAAGGGGGAAAGGTCGTGGCAGGGGCCCAAAGCGAGGTGGCAGAGGGGGAGCTAGCGGTAGTGACTCTCGTCCTCAGAACAAGCAAACTCAAAGATATAGACCAAACAAGTCACAACAGAACTCCGGTCAGTCGCAGCCATGTTATAAATGTGGTTGCAAAGGACATTGGTCTAGGACATGCAGGACTCCTAAGCATCTGGTCGAGGCTTACCAAAAGATGCTCCAGCAGGAAGGAGGACAAAAGAAGAAAGATTCTGGGCAATCATCTTTGCCTGAAGCAAATGCCCTCATCTTAGGGAATGATGACCTGCTAGGCGATGAACTAGCTGATTATGGAGATCAAGAGTGATACTCCTATTTTTTTTCTCTCTCTCTCTCTTTCCCTTATGGACATCCATTTTACTTCATGCCTGCGTGCATGTTTACATTTGAACTCTTTTGTCCTATATGAATAATGGATCCTTTATCTTTGAACACTTTTGTTCTATTTGAATAAATACAATGGATCCTTCTTGGACATTATCTTGATACCCATTCTTTTTCTTTAGAGATATGGGAGATGAATCAACCCTATGCTTGGTTGATTGTGCGACTACGCACACTATTCTGACAGACCGGAGATTTTTCCAAACGTTCAAGGAACACAAAGGCAACCTTTCAACCATAGCGAATGATGACATTTCTATTGTGGGCTCCGGTAGAGCTTCACTTATTCTTCCTAAAGGAACAAAGTTGATCATTGATTCAGCTCTCCTATATCCTCAATCAAAAAGAACTTTGCTCAGTTTCAGGGATATTCGGTCCAACGGTTTCCACATAGAAACTAAAACTAAAAACAATACCGAATTCCTTGTTTTGACCAAAACGGTCAATAACCAGAAAAAGGAAATTGAAGAACTTCCTTCCTTTTCTTCAGGCCTGTATTATTCATATATCAGGCCCCAGCACTCCTGCGTTGCACTCGCAGTGAAGTTTAAAGATACACATTCTTTCAGTCTATAGCATGACCGCTTAGGTCACCCTGGGCAAACTATGATAGGCCGGATTCTTTCAAATTCAACTGGACATAACCTTCTTAGGACAAACATTCTTTCTACAAAAGATTACACATGTGTTCCATGTGCACGGGGAAAACTTATTGTTCGTCCCTCGCGTCCTAAGATTGATTTTGAGTCACCTGTCTTCTTGCAAAGGCTACAGGGTGATATTTGTGGACCAATTAATCCTTCATCCGGACCATTTCGATATTTTATGGTCCTTATTGATGCTTCCACTCGATGGACACATGTGTGTTTGTTGTCCACTCGAAATATGGCATTCGTAAAATTCATGAGCCAAATCATTAGGTTGAATGCCCAATTTCCCGATTATCCTATTAAGAACATAAGAATGGATAATGCTGGTGAATTCACTTTGTCAGCTTTTGGCGATTATTGTATGGCCATGGGAATTAAGGTACCATATGTCCACACCCAGAATGGTTTAGCTGAATCTTTTATCAAAAGAATTAAACTAATAGCTAGACCATTACTGCAACGGTCCAGTCTACCAGTAAATTGTTGGGGACACGCAGTGTTGCATGGTGCAAACCTAATTCAACTCCGGCCAACTGCATATCACGATTATTCCCCTCTACAGCTTGTACGTGGTAATGAGCCAGACATTTCTCGTTTGCGTGTCTTTGGCTGTGCGGTTTACGTACCTATACCACCTCCGCGTCGTTCTTCAATGGGCTCGCAACGTCGATTAGGTATTTATGTTGGGTATGAATCCCATTCTATCATTAAATACCTCGAGCCTATGACAGCAGATCAGTTTACTGCACGGTTTGCTGACTGCATTTTTTATGAAGATCATTTCCCGACATTAGGGGGAGAGAAAAGCCCAGCTTTGAAAAAATGCCACGAAATTTCATGGGGTGAAAAAGATCTTAAATATCTTGACCCACGTACTAGTCAAACTGAACTTGAAGTTCAAAAAATAATAAATTTGCAAAAACTAGCAAATAATCTGCCAGATGCGTTTACTGATTATAAAAGAGTAACTAGGTCCTATATTCCTGCAGAAAATGCTCCATCAAGGATAATTGTCCCCGAAGGACCAAATAATAACACCGACACTATCCGACGCTAGAAGCGTGGAAGACCAGTTGGTGCAAAAGATGTAAATCCGCGGAAAATTAAAAACAGTAAACAATCACAGTTACTCCAAAATCGTCCTGAAGACGAAATACCCAGTGTAAATGCACGTGCTACAAATAAATCTAACACTGGGAATACGGAACACCTTCACCAAGATATGATAGCAAATGAGAAAGATTTGGTTGAAGTAAATATAGAATCTGCCATAAACTTTTTCGAAACAGGAGAAAATCTTAATAGAAATGTAACAGTCGTCGACGACCAATTCGCCTCTACAATTGCTCTTCACATTTCTTTCAATAATCTGGATCCAGAACCAAAAACTATAATGGAGTGCCGGAAGCGCTCCGATTGGTTGAAATGGAAAGAAGCAATTGAGGCTGAGCTCAACTCGCTAAATAAAAGAAAAGTGTTTAGTCCTCCTGTACTTACCCCTGAAGGCGTGATCCCAGTAGGATCCAAATGGGTATTTGTACGAAAGAGGAATGAACAAAATGAGGTGGTCAGATACAAAGTGAGACTGGTAGCTCAAAGGTTCTCACAGAGACCCGGAATAGATTTTGAACAAACTTACTCTCCTGTCTTAGATTGCACATCGTTCCGTTATCTAATATCGCTGGCAGTAAAAATGAATTTAGAAATGCAGTTAATGGATGTTGTGACAGCATATTTATATGGGTCACTAGACGCTAACATATATATGAAAGTACCTGAGGGCATCCAAAATCCTTTATGTAAAGGAAATACAAATAAAAATATGTTTAGCGTAAAGCTACAAAAGTCATTGTATGGCTTAAAACAGTTAGGAAGAATGTGGTATTGTCGATTGAGTGAATTCCTCTTAAAACAGGGATATGAAAATAAAGATATTAGTCCTTGCATCTTTACAAAGAAATCAACTGATGGTTTCTGTATTATATCAATCTATGTAGATGATATAAACATCATAGGGACAAGCAAGGATGTCAAGAGGGCATGCTTGTGCTTAAAAGAGGAATTCGAAATGAAAGACTTGGGAAAAACCAAGTTCTGTCTCGGCCTGCAGATCGAGCACCTCCCTGAAGGAATATTCATACACCAATCCAAATACACAGACAAGTTATTGGAGAAATTCTACATGGATAAGTCCCATCCACTTAGTACTCCAATGGTAGTCCGATCACTTGAAGTTGATAAGGACCCATACAAACCTAAAGAAGATAATGAGGATATTCTAGGACTAGAAGTTCCTTACTTAAGTGCCATTGGAGCACTTCTATATCTTGCCAACTTCACTAGACCTGATATTGCATTTTCAGTAAACATGCTAGCTCGTTTTAGTGCTGCTCCAACCAGAAGGCATTGGAATGGCATAAAACATATCCTCAGATATTTACAAGGTACAAAGGATCTTGGCCTTCTATTTAAGAGAGACCAAAACACCACATTAGTGGGATACGCGGATGCTGGCTTTATGTCTGATCCGCATAATGCTAGATCTCAGACTGGATATGTGTTTCTTTCTGGAGGTACTGCTATTTCATGGAAATCAGTTAAACAAACATTCGTAGCTACCTCCTCAAACCACTCTGAGATTATTGCCTTATACGAGACCTCTAAAGAATGTGTATGGTTGAGGTCATTAATACACAATATTCAAGACTCGTGTGGAATAATGAATAATGGAAAGATCCCCATTGTCATGTTCGAGGACAATGCAGCATGTGTTGCACAAATGAGTAATGGATATGTTAAAGGTAATCTCACCAAACATATTACACCAAAGTTCTTTTATCCACATGAACTCCAGAAGAGTGGTGAAATACGAGTCCAAAAGATCCAATCAAGTGAAAATCTAGCAGATTTATTCACCAAGTCCTTACCTACATCTACTTTTGAAAAGTATGTATATAAAATTGGTATGCGTAGATTAGGAAGGTTGTTGTCTTCAAGGGGAGCAACAACATCTTCAAAGTAATGAAATTGTTAGTCCAGAAGATTAACTCATTCACTTTGATCCAGAAGATCAAGATATACTCTTATGATTTATACCTAAACCCAGAAGGTTTACGGTTGTACTCTTTTTCCCTTAACTGAGTTTTTTTCTCACAGGGTTTTCTCAGTGTAAGGTTTTTAATGAGGCAACCGAAGCAACACATGCATTATCCATAAATCGTGTACTCTTTTCTCGACTAGATTTTTCCCACAGGGTTTTTCTAACGAGTTTTTAACAAGGCATGATTATGGCAAAATAATGTCCAAGGGGGAGTGTTATAAATCAAATCTTAATGGACATTATTATGATTATTTGTAACAGCTGAAACAGTTTTTGTACTTAATGAGAAGGTTACATTTGTACTCTATATATTATTGTATTCATGTACAGAAGTTAGAGATTACAAGACAATAAAATTGTTCTTCTCACTGTTCTTTATCTTCTCCATACTGCTCTTTCTTTTACTGTTCCCCGCGAGCTAAGGTCTGCAAAAGTTACCAACAAACTTACATTACAACAAAATTTATAACTTTACCGTTACCAAGTTAACTATATTTCCATAGTTAATGCGTAGATAAAGATTGCCATAAGATTTTAATTATCTCTGTAATGAGTGTAATCCAACTCTAAAATTATAATTCAATTTTAATTTTTAACTTATCTACTTAGCATAGGGTTTTAATCATCTCTCTTTTTCAATTGTGTTTATAACAATGTTAAGATGAATAAAGATTTTTAATTTAAATTTGTTTGAAAATTAATTGTTTATTATTTATATTTTTAAATTAAATAATAAGTTTTTAATAAGATGTTTGAAAATTTGAGATTTTAATATTTTTAATGGTCAAAATCTTATATTATAATTTATTTTAAAAATAAAAATCAAATAAGTCATCAAAATATACATCAAAATATAATTGTGTCATAATAAAAAAAGAAATCATGTCATTAAAAACAACTACAATTAAGTCTCGAAACAATGCAAAATAATACAATTCAACTTAAAATAACATACTAACCTATTAACATACTAACCGAATTTAAAAATATTTTTTTAAAAGTTTATTTTAATAAATTAAAATAAAATAATTATTTAATTAAAAACAAAAACATAACAAAAACCACCCCTCCTCTAGGCTCTAACCGATAATTATGTATATAAACAAAAACGAATAAATTAAGAGGGGGGTGAGGGGTGGAATTGAAATTCAACACGACCATCAATAAATTTCAAACGGCACTTCTTGCACTTACCAATCAAAAATTCCTCATTGTCAGGCAATGCTATCTATATCCTACTTCAGATTTGGATAGCAAGCATCAAAAAAAAGGGAGAAAAGAAACAAAGAAAAACCTTAAAAGCATTGCAGTTAAACCACAGAACAATGAAACGTTCCAAAGTGTATTTGTAACGATGACAAGCATCCATCCCACATATGCAAAGGAAGCACAATCAGCTCATCGTTTAAGCATCGCTGATCAGGGAACCTCAACACACTCTTCCAAAGAGATTACCAAACCAACATTAAACGAACAAGTTCACTACGACTTGGCACCATTTGCATCTTCCTCCATTGCCTCAGTCTGGCTTGACTCCTCAGCCTTCTCCCCTTTCTTGCCTGCACATAATACATGAAACATCATTTTTCTTGATAAAGAATATGCATGGTTTAGAATCATATTCTTTTTAGCACTACTATTATAATCATTATTTCCTCAACTTGCTGTTGAGTATACCTTTCTTTTTCTTCCCCCCGCCTTTCTTCTTTGTCTTTGTTGGAAGGGCTAGCCAAGCCTTAATCTCAGGTTCATTGTCTATTGTCTTAGTAGCCTGAAGCTCCTGGAGTGGATGCGATGTAACCCTATCAGATCCATTGGGCATCAATAGAACAGTGAATTTTATGTGAGCAACCAAATCACCTGTATCACATAATGAGATAGGAATTAGGCATGCAGAATTAGGCATGCAATCAAATGGAAGTCAGAGTCATCATCAACAATAGAGACTCTTGCCAAGTAATCAAGTTACAAACCAGGCTTTTCATGCAGAACAGGATATGGCTGTAAAAGATCATGGTTGACACATTCAACCAGTCCGAGACGCGCCCTCTTCTCTTCCAAATCCCTGTAAAGAGAGAGTTGCCAAAAGCACAAGTAAAATTAAAACATTTGAACAGAAACAGTCTAGCATACACTTCAACAAAGACGGCGCTGACAGACCTTGCCGTAAATGGCATGATTGGGAACTTCTGGCTGATCTCACTAAAGATGAATCTAGATGCTTTCATCTTCAAATTGTAGCTTTTATCCACAGCTCTCTTATAGATTGTTGTTTGTTTCTCATCCAAGAGTTTTGGCTGTAATTTTCAAGTTTCCGAAAGATTCATACAAAATGAATGAAATTAAGAAATATTCACATAACTATCAAAGTATAGAGTAAAAACCAACCTTGCCATCACCAGTGCTTGTTACAATGTCAATGGAATAAACCTCATTTTCTTCAAATTCTGCATCATCTACTCTAGTTTCAGGATTAGATAGACTCAACACAACTTTGTTTCCATCAATCACAAACTGCTTCATTTGATGACTCAAAACACCCTCTACAATCTTGCAATCATATGCTGCAGCAACCTTCTGTATGGCCTCTGTCACATCTGAGTTCTGCATTGACCAAGAAACACATAAACTATGCATTACTCAAATACTAATTTAAGAAAAAAATGTCAAAGATGTTGCTTTTAGCTGCTAAATACACACTGATAAAAAAAATGTCAAACCCACCACATAACCATATGTTACTTTTTAAAGATGTTGCTTTTATAAGGCCTGAAATCATGACATAATGGTCAATCATGAATACAATTCAAGCTCAACCTAATTTAAAAACATTTCGAAAATCTTAACTCTGATGTTCAGATCTAAGCTTATATCCAAGAAAGCAAGGAAAAGTGAAGGCTGCATGCTAATGCAATTCAAGCTTCATTGCTAGTCCACCTGGGGGCTCATCACACACATGGATATTTATATATTTTTTTTTCAGTACTACTGACTCTGTTCACATGGATATTTATATGAATGCTGCCTTTGTAAGCATTTCACTGAAATTCGCAAATTTAAATATGTTAAGCGCATGTATTGCATAGTCATCCAACTAATCACTTCAAAGGGCTAATACAATGATTGACAAATTCAATATAAGGAATGCTTTTCTATTCAGTGTCAATACAGACTATATTTTTATAGGCATCCTAAAGGCCTAAACTTGTTTTATTTCCTTCAGAACATAATGAAACATAAGTATGCATATTATAAGAGCAAAAGACAGTAGTTGCTGCTCAAACATTAAAATGCATTGATATTCTTTCAACATGTATCTAGAACTCATATCGATTATGCTAGAAACAAAAAAATTAAATTCAAAAGTTCCAAACATGTTCAATCACTTGTATACACTAATAACTATGCAGTTAAACACTCTCATTGAGCATTACCTTTTTTCCTGGCCTCACAAGCCTCAGAGCCACTTCAGCAGCAGTATTAGCAGCAGCAATTACATCAGCAGCTCTACCAGTAACAGGCCCTTCTTGAAGCACATGTGTGTGCGCAACTACTGCAATAAACCCATCTATGTGACATCCCATATCACTGCAACCAAGAAGAACCAACACATACAACATGCATTGTCAATTACAACTCCCAATTGGATGAATAAAAAGTAGAACTATAACATGCAAATTGCTGAGTGAAATTGGAATTAGGCCTTTTAGCATAGAGTTGAACAGGAGCTGCTGAAACTTTAGTTCAAGATAATGGCAAGGCGCCGTCATTTTCATTTACACCACAAAATTTTAATATTTTATTCAATGCCAAGAAACATTAACAAATAACAATAAAAGCCTGAATGACTACTTACATCTTCAACATATCACCTTCTTCCAATACAACTTCATCCCCAGACAGTGGAGAGAAGTGACAAACAGTATTGTTCAGTGATATGCAGGTTGGAAAGGCAACACCCCTCTCAATTTTCTTCTTCACATTCTTGTACATATTCCCAGTTTGCCTACACCATAAACCACATCAAATTGCCAATACTTGATATAACACATATAAGAGATAATAAATCACCAAATTTATTAACCAAAAAAACAAGAGAGAAACAATCTTACTCTCTTATGAATGCATCCCCTTTTTCACAAAGGTCAACTACCTTCGCTTTCGGCTTACATTCAGACAAAACCAACTGCAGAGCCTCTGAAAAACACAAAACCAGACAAATAAAGTTCCAAACTTCCACAAAGTAACAGTTCAAGTTATTCCATCAAATCCAATTTCAGCCATCACACAAAATCAGTATGAAGAAAACACTCGTTCATTCAACCACAAGTCATAAACCAGGTTTCTTCAATTCCTTGTCTACATAAAACACAGATACACACATATATATAAAACGAGGGAGAAAGAGACGAACTGTTGACGATTTCGGCGGCGCTCTTGTACTTGGTGACGACCTCAGGACTAGTGAGATCCAACTCTCGCTCTTCTCTCTCGTCGTCCGACATCCTAGGCAAATTCACGAGAACCACGGCTGCATAAAAACGACGACAGAAGAGAACGTTACAGTGTCCGCCGATTATCAGAAACAAAATTAACGCAGAAGAAAGCGAAGCAAATTGTGAGAAAGGGATATGGAAGCTCACAATAGAAAAGCTCGGCGTGAAAAGGAAGAAGCGAATAAGGGTTTTGGTGGCCGGAAGTGAAAGGGTTGAGCTAGGGTTTTGGGCGGAAGCAGAAATAGCAAAGCGAGGGATAAGAGTTTCCACGCACCGATTACAGTCAGATACTTGACAACTTGGAAGGTCACGTGGCAATCCACTGGAGTCCGCTGATTCTTTATAAATTTCAAAAGAATTTTTTTTTTTTTTTTTTTTTGAAATCAATTCCAAAAGATTTTTTACTATTTATATTTTACAATTTTTAATAGGTGTGACCCTAAGAGAAGTAATTTAAGCCCAAGCAAGAATCAACCATTTAAATTGTTTTAAAATATCAACTTGACAAATCAAATCAAGGAAGTATCTCGAATGTTCATATTATCATAAGGTGTAATAAAGTCAAAATTGGAAACTACAAGTTACAAGGTCCATTATTGTCATAACTAGAAGTTTGTGGGGTAATCCTAAACTGCTCCACGATGAACGGGTTAGGGCAAGCCCATGAAGGTTGGGGTTGTGGGGATTAACAACCCACGTACTAACAATATTAAAAAAAAACATATATATATATGCACACACATATACATATATACATACATACTAAACGTTAACAAAAATTAAAATTTTATACTTTCTCTAAACACTGAAGAATCGAATATTGTTATGTAAAAGTATTAAAAAATATATAATAATATTATAATCAATTTTGTAAGTTCTTTAAGTTGGCCTGGAGACTAGGCAGCATAAGGCGAGTTAAGGTTAAAGAATTCGAACATGTTGTATTTGCAAGCCAATCCACAAAATCAATGTTGCAAAACACGCTAGGCGTCCCCTAGGCGGCAAGGGGGTGCCTAGGCGCCGATTTTTTTATTATATTTTTTAATTTTTTTAATTAAAAATAAAATTAAAAATTAAAAATTTTTAAAATTTAGTAAGAAAACATAAGGTTTTCATAGTTATTTCTTAGAAACTATTTACGAAAGTAGTTGTAAAAGTGTTCAAAGGATTGTTTAAACCATCTAAATACATAAAAGACTAAAATTAAGAGCTAAAGAAGCATTTTTTTGAGAAATTAGTGGACCAAACCGCCGGCGGTGGATAGATCTCGAAAAATACGTGATTTGAAAAAAAAATTGTCCAAAACGGACAACCGAGTCAAAAGTTATGCCTTTTCGAACTTTTCACAATTTAAAACGCAAAAAAAAATAATAATAATAAAATTAAAACGCTGGTTCGACGCCGGTTCAGCCGACTAGGCGGCCGCCTAGCCGGCCGGCTGCGGAGGAGGCCGATTCCGGCCTTCTTCGCGGCGGTGGCCGGACGCCTAGGCGCGATTTTTACATATCTTATTTAAAATTAATTAGTGATATATATGTGGACATTAACAATTCAACCACATCCCTCATGATAAGTCACATCGCCACGTTTGGAATCGAACACGGGTTAAACTCGGCCAACCTATCCGACAGCCAACACAAGTTTAGAAGTTGCATACATACAATACTACAAGTTCATAAGCTCAATACATTAACTTCATATTGACACACTCAATTTATAAACTTATAATTTTGAGTTTATTTACCTCCAATATAAACTTATAGTTTCGACTTTATTTACCTCCAATTCATATATTATAAACGTAGAATATTGTTATAATTATTTGACATGATACATTTAAAATTAACATATTATGTAGTGATATACTTAAATTTATGTCCCTACCGTTAACATTATGTACACATTGCAAAGACGAGTACTTATCAAAGAGAGGGAATATATATCAAGTGCCTTGTAGTCTATTGGTATCTGGTTGAACCTTTATGTATCTGATTGCGATCTAGGGTTCAACCTTTGGTGTAGGCATAAATTGTATATGTGGAAATCTCCTTCCTTTCTAATAAAAAAAATAGAGGAAATAAATTTTTAAAAAGTTACATTAATTTAAACAAAATAACGTTGTTTTGATTCATACTGAAAAATGAACTTGGATCCACGATATAATTTTCATATTGACAGATGTTTGGACGTTTTGGGGATTGAGTCCATGAAGATAAATAAAGACTTCAATTTAGATATTTTTTGGGCTAATACTATTATTTGGAGATATAAGGCCCATAAATGGAAACATCTTGTTGGCCTATTAAAATTTAGTAAGCTATACTGATAACAAACCATTTTTGTTAATATCAAACCCATCAATAGTTTATTCAATTGTTATATCATTGAGGTTCACATTACATTGGGGATTCTAGTCTAAAAACTAAATGTATGTACTTAACATATTATGTACTTTTAATAAATCAATTATACGATTAGTAAAACTAATATATTATGTATATACATGTGTTTGTCGTTAACATATTATATACATGTAGCTAGCATATTATGTGCTTTCAATTTATTTATAAGCACATGATATCCTAAATACAGATACATAATCTTAATGTCATTTTACAGCAATATTCATAATGTAAAATGGATCCTAGTTCATGGTATAATTTGTCTAGTCTATTGCCGTATTACTCATGTGACTGCACATAATGTACTGTGTAGTATCACATCTATATTACTAAATTACAAGATGATAAAAATGCACAAACAAAATAATAAAAATGCACTTTTAGAGATTGTGAGTTGCATTTTATTGATTTGTACATTTTGAAGCTTTAAAGTGCATTTTAAATATCATATCATGCACATTTAAATTTGTTTATTTTTAAAATTTTTGTATTACACTTTTATATATCATATGGTTCACTTGTGTAGTTTAGCTTATACACTTTTGCATTTACACGTTTACAATTAGGTTATATATAAGGATTATATTACATAAGATCTTGTTATTAAGGAAAAAATTAAAATCAATCTCAATTGTTTATTTGAATGGATATAATAGCTCTAAAGTAAGGATAATCCTGAAAAAATATAGTGCCATTTTGGTATATAACTCAAACTTTAAAATACATTTTGCAACACATATTAAGAATTCATCTAATTTTATGTAAAAGTGCACTATGCATTGTTGTGAAGTACACTTTAAAATTAGAAAATAATTACTAAAATGCCAGTGTTCTTTCAATATTCTTACTTTAGAGCTGTTAAATCTGCCCAGATAGATAGTTGGAATTGACTTAATTTTCTCTAAAGTTTATCCCATTATTAAAACCAAATGATACTTCTTTGATTTATGACTTATAAAACAGTCCATTTTTTTTTTTTGAAAGTTACTGGCTCTATTACATTATAGTATCTGTTCATATACTTTCTCAACCTACTGAAACACAAAGAACCAATAACGCATCTACTGAGGCTTGAACTCATAATCTTCCAATTGGAAGTCCAACCCGGATACCATTAGACCACGTAGTCCTGGTGTACATTGTACTATTGTAGCTCGTGACACAACCAAACAAAAAAGAAAGTACAATGAAGATAGGAATAGCCCTACGTACACTATAACAACAAATTTGACCGAAGGTCAATGAGTTTAGTACCATATACACAGATCATGTAGAGACGAGTTCAGAAGACGGCCACTTCCATATTATTGGAGTCACTAGTGATATTCGGTCGTAACTTAATTAGTACTTAATTTAAGTTACTTAAATGATAAATTATGAACACTACGTTCAAAAAAAATCATAAATTATGAACAAATACATAAAATTATAGTTAAAGTAAAGAAGTCTGAAGTTATATATAATATAGTGAATTTATTGTGGCTATCAAGTATGGGTCCTTTCACCTAATTGTGATTTATCACTTCATCATATGTTAAGTTGGGACGATATATTTATTTCAAAAGAGTTTGAGATATATATATATATCTATATATATATATATATATATATATATATATATATATATATATATATATATATTGAGGAACATGTTCGTAATTAAAGCTAAAAAAATTAATTTATATACTAAGTGTGTGCAAAAAATTTTTGTAGTCAAGCGGTATTACTATGATTCTCTTAAATAAAATGTCACAAATTTGAACTTCAATGTGCGCATTGAATTGGCCGACACAGAGAAAAATCCCCAAATATTAAAGATGCCCTTATTATTATTATTATTATTATTATTATTATTATTATTATTATTATTATTATTATTATTATTATTATTATTATTTTCTTGTATCCAATTAACAAAAAACAAAAGAAAAAAAAAACACAACTTAAGATCATGACTTCAATATCATAATAATCATAATATATGTGTATAAATATGAAATATATTTATCTTGTTATTTATAGTATCTAATATAATTGTAGTCACTATTTAAAAATATGTATTAATAAATATTATTTTTACGTGTATAATAATGGTAAGCTTTCATGTAAATCAAAATAACAATTAGATGGGGAAACGGAAAATATATATAATTATGGATATTTTCCGGTCATTCTGGAAAGAAATAGTGCCATAGAGGGACAAAAGGTGACTAGGATGGAATTGGATAAAGTTGGTGGAATGGGATAATGTTAGTCTTCCTTCATAAATGTTGGTATATGTGGAAAAAGACTTACGTACTGTGAATATAATAAGACGAGTGGATGATGATATGGATGGATAAGAAATGAATTAGATGTTGGTCTTACATGATATATATATTTACAGGTGTAATATTTATATACATAGGAGCAACCTAATCGAGTGTATCAGACAATTTTAATTTAGTTAGTTCGACAATTAGTTTGAGCCAATTTTTTTTTTTTGAATGCTACTAGCTCTATTACATTGTAGTATTTGTTCATATACGTTCTCAACCTACTGAAACATAAAGAGCTAATAACGCCCCCACTAAAGCTCGAACTCACAACCTTCCAAATGGAAATCCAACCCGGGTACCATTGGACCACATAGTCCTAGTTAGTTTGAGCCAATTAATTATATGTGATCTAAATTGGTTTAACTGAATCAAAGTTTAAAATGTTATATATATGAAAAGATTCAAGAGACAATATGCTCCATGTAAAAAAGTGAAAAGTGATGATATGATATGATCATCTATTCATCTATTTGAATAAATCGACACTTAAAGATTGCTAAAAAATAGAAAGAAAAGATGTGGAATCAATTTTATAAATATTACAAACTTAAAACTTTGCCATAATTATAAA